GAAACTTAAAGCATTTGCAGAATTCCCAACAGATAAATGTAAGATCCTCAAATGTAGGGTTGAGTTTGCCTCAGTATCCGCTTTTCCAGAATCAAACGACTAAGACTCTGCCTAATTCTTGCTCTGTTTTTCCTTATGTCTTATTTCAGTTCACATAGATCTTGGGCCTTTCCATTTTTTTATCCCTCCCTTTCCGCCACTGCTTTTGAGACCAGAGTCCTATCCTTAGTCAGCTAATCTCTGTGGACAGACCTCCTTTCTTTTCTGCCTAAAACCTCCTCAACCTGTCAGATCTTCCCAATCACCCCAGCCCACTCCTACCATTTCAAATAAACACTCTAACTACATTAGGGGGTGTTAAACCATGTGTATCAGGATGATTAATTTCCAAACTCTGTGAGTTAGAACCAGAATCATTCCCAGTGCAGACAAAAAAAGATGACAGCAAGAATGGTCTGCATGTTTGATAAGAGCACATCTGACTTATCAAGCAATCTTTTGGAATTTTTTAAACACTTCAGCTTGAGTTCTAATCTGATCACGATTCAATTTGTTTCATGTTCTAAACAAGGCACACAAAACTAAGCTATGCTTTGTAGATAAAAAGGGCATCACTCTCACAACTTCATTACCTTGAATATTCACTCTAAATTATTTTTTTAATAGAGGTAGGACAATTCAATCATCTGTTGAGCCATATATAGTATTATTTGTGCTACTTTCTTATCACTAAAGCGATTAGAAGGCAACAGGAATATAGCCATGCTACACTGCAGTTAGTAGTTACTAGTACACTGTTGTATACTAGTAAACTGTTGTACACTAGTATATTGTTGTATACTAGATGTCACCATTCCTATAAACAGCTACTGATGGGCTTTACAGGGGCTCAAATCCACAATCTCAATCCTACAAGCTCCTCTTTAACCTCTATCAATACTAAATATATTATCAACCTAGACTATGGTTAAATATGCAATCTGCTATAAAAATGGAAATATTTAATACAGGTCTTGCTTCAATATGATCTTTGATCTAGAGCAAAAATTAACTGTATTATCTATAATGCAATATCTAAATTGCAAAATTGAACTGCTATCCCGAAAAGGACACAACACAGTCTCAGAGAAACCAACATAGCACTACTGTCTCTAAGTTGTCTTTAACTTAGCTGTGAAACCTTGAACAGGTCAACTGCCACTCATCTGTAGCAAATTAATCAACTTAAACTTACCGAAGAGTAATAAGCAAAATTATGGTACAATTTTTCATCCATTACTTTAAAGCAGAGTATTCAACAGTTTTATAATTGAAAGAATTAGCTAAATATAGTACCCAATGAGTATTTAATACATGATGATGTATACAAAACATTGAACAATGATGATGATGTTTAATAATAATAACAAAAATGTTACCTTGAGTTAATGGTTCACAAGCCATTCTAAATTTTTTTAAATTTCATTTCCTTCTTAAATTATCTAAAAATATTTTTAAGAATGCTGAACATTGTTAAATTACACAATTACTCATTAACTTACTCAATTAAACCTCATTTATCTATCTCTATGGATAAAAATGATGGGATAAATGATGTGAACAACTTAGTTTATTCCTACAGCGATGTACATACTGCAAACCTCTCAATGACTCGCTAGTGAACCAGATGAATTGACAGACATTACCTCATATGAAGCAGATCTTACTGAATTACTCAAGTGCAAGAGTTGAACTTCAGAACCACATGCTGAAGTGTGGCTGGCAATTTTATAATCTTTTGCCATATCCCCCATGCTATTCCAATCTGTATAGCGGTATTTCTTTCTATTTACTTTTACTTTATTGTTGGGTCTCCACTTGTCTGTTGTCAGTTCTTGTGCTAAGCATCCATTACTATTACTAATCTCCTTTGCCACTTTCCATCTAACTCCATCCAACTGCTATCCTGCTATCCAACACTTCTTTTCTCTGTTTCTTCATCACTTTTGTCTCTTCTGTTTCCTGCTCCTCTTAGCTCCCAAACAAAAGAGATTTAACTTCATAGGTATAGTCAAACAATACTCTCCTTCTAAATTAAAAAGAAAAAAAATCAAAGTGTGATACACAAAAATCTTCAGATCAGCATGATCTTTGGCTTTTTTGAACTGTTCCCATCACAATCTGATATTCAAAGGTTTATTCATTGTTACAAAAGATACTTTATGGTTTCTTTTATTTCTAAATTTGGAATTACTATACATATATTTATATATCTATATATATATTTAATTTTTTATAATTATAGTATTTTAGGGTCAAAATTATAGTATTCACTGGAAAAGAAGACATGGTGGCTGACTTCTTCACCCTTAAACGATTCACTGGAAAAGAAATGTAATTTAAAATAAAATAAAAATAATAATACTCAAAAAAAGATACAGGCTAAAGCATATGAAAAGATACTTAACATCATGAGTAATTAGACAAATGCAAATCAAAACCAAAGGAGGCACTACTTCACAGCCATTAGGTAGCTATTACCAAAAAATAGAAAATGTGCTGGCAAAGATATGTGGGTAAGGATTTGGATAAACTGAAACTTCTGTGCACTGCTCATAGGAATGTAAAACCATGCCGCCACTGTGGACAGCAGTTGGTCCCTGAAATATTAAACAAAGAATTACCATGATCTAGTAATTTCATTTCGGGATATACACTCCAAAAAAATGAAAGCCAAGACTCAAGCAGGTATTTATTCATGCACATTCCCAGTACATTATTTATAATAGCCAAAAGGTAGAAGCAACACATGCATCATGGACAAATTAGTGAATAAGTAAAATGTGTGTGTGTGAGTGTGTGCATAAAATGGAATACTATTCAGTCTTAAAAAGAAAGGGCATTTGAACACATGCTACAGCATGCATAAACTTTAAAGACATTATGCTAAGTGAAACAGCCAGTCAAAAAGACAAATTTTGTCTGATTCCATTTTCCATGAGGCACACAGAGTAGAGATAGAAAATTCAGAGACAAAAAGTAGACTAGTGGTTGTCAGGAGCTGAGAAGAGGGCGGAATGGAGAATTAACATTTAATAAGATTCACTTGGGGAAGATGAACAGTTCTGGAGATGAGTAGTGATGCTGTATTACATCATTACTTAATGATGCTGCAATGTACACTTAAAATGGTTTAAATGGTAAATGTTAAGTTATGTATATTTTACCAGAATAAAAAGAAATTAATGGAAACAAGCATTGTTACAATTGAGCTTATTTCGCTTGTTACTTAGGTATCCAGGCTATTGTGCAAAACCATTCTGATTCTAAAACAGACAACACAAGTTATATGCAACTGAGTAAATGGTGCTTAATTTTGTCAGTACTCATGAACAGCATGGAAACATCTCTGCATTTTTAATGGCATCAGAGTCTCCTGATAGAAATCTATCTGGAAAAGATGGAAAAATACACTGTCAATAAATAAGACCCTTCATATGCACACAAAACCACTGAATAAATATTAACCCTCAAGATTTTTACACTCTGATGACTCCAGTTCTACATTCTTGCTATTCCAAGAAATACCAAACAGATTTATGTCTTAGGGTCTTTTGTTAGTCTTAATATCCATCCCCCACATACCTGAAGAGTTCACTCCCATTTCATTCAGATCTCTGCTCAAAAGTCTCCTTATCAGAGAGGCTGAGCTTGACCAACCTATCCAAATTAGCATCCTGCACTAGCTTCTACCCTTAATGTTACTTTCATAGTTCTTATCACTACTATACACACACACACACACTTACTAACTGTTCTTCTTCACACATGTAATATTAAATACTAAATACTAAAACTTAAATTAAATACAAAATACTAAAACTTCACCTATATTGTTCACTATTGTTCAATGAGCACCTAGAACACTACCTGGAATACTGAAGATGGACAGTAAATATTTGTAAACTAAATGAATCGATCACTGTTCCCAGACCATACCACCCTCTTGGCCTTGATACTACTCTATTTGCAAGGGTATTGCATGGAAGTCATACAGAGCATCCCTGGTTTAGGCATCACCAGTTAAGTACAAAGTAGTGGGACTGAAGCCTCCTACCAGCACATGGAAAAGTGTTCTCTAACTCTGTTTCTAAATATTCTAAATGAATACAGTGTATCTGTCCTGCTGAAACATAAGAAATATATAATTCTAATACTGCTTTAAGACAAAAAGATATCATGTATTGAACTTCACTTTCCTTATTAACATCAATTTGCCCCTATTTTAATAAGTTATAAGACTTACTAACCTGAAAATCAGATGATTTTTCCCTCTCCAACTTTTCAGATTATTTGAGGAAATGAACAAATGCAACCACATTGCTTCTCAATAAATAAGTGTCAATTAAGTAACGGTTACTTGACCCAACAGACAGGTACACACTCTGGAGCACTAGAAGAATATGCTAAATCTCTGAATTAGAGAGGACTCCTTCCAAAATATTCCCAACTTTATTTCAAAGTCAAAAGTATTCAACTACAAATTCATCCCAATAGAATGTCCCAAAAGAACTCATACATGTTACAAGTTTTGTGACGATTTTATAACTGCACTTTAACCTTCTGTTATTGACAGATTTCTGATAAAACTTTGGCAGTTGATTATCTTTGTAGAAAGAGAAAGCACAGTATTATACCTCCCTTTCTAAGTAAGCCTAGGAGGGCCCAATACTCTACAGTCTCTGGGGCACCCAGAAGCCCATGTGTCCAGTTAAAGAAGAGTCACCCAGGGCACGCATGTGTCCTGCCACGCCTCGCAAGTGGAAATGGTAAGTGAAACCTGACCAACAGCGGGGTGCTGGACTTAGGACAGAGGTGTCCACAGGAAACGCTGCGTGGCTCCGGGAAGCTCTCGTCCCGCGGCCAGCAGCCCCAGCCAAAGACAGACCAGGCCAGTCCTCTCCTCTGATTACATCGGGGTCCAGCCCCCGATCTCAAATCCCCGGCAACGCAGGTCCTACCTGAGCTCTGCCCCCAGCTACAGGGCTGCGGGGGGAGGCGGGAGGAGGCGTGGCCTTCCAGCTCGCCAGACCAACTCCCTCGTGCGGTTGTTATGACTTTCCCTCTCGGGATCCGCGCCCCGACCAAGTTCGAGTTGCACTTCCGGGGTCCGCAAGAGACCATAACGTCATTGCGCACGCGACGACGGCTGCAGCGACGATCCGGAAGTGGGCGGGGCGTGGTTGCGAGTATGGTTCCTTTCGGCGCTAGGTGGGCTGGGAGAGAGGAACGCGAGGCTTGAGAGTTTTGGTCTTTTCCTGCAGGCTTTGCTCGTGCTGCCTTCCCCCTTTTCTGAAGCAAGGGATACACCTTACCAGGTAGCCTTAGAGGCTAGAGCCACCCTGAAACCGTATCTCTGAGTGGAGTTTTTTAAATTCTGGGATTATCCCCGTATCTATTTGCCTCTCTTGCGCCCATGGTGTATCAGACTTGGCTCATTCCTTTCAACTCCAGGAGGGAGAAAGGTAGGAAAGTCTACATTTAAAAAATTAAATATCAATCCAAATTATGGCTTGTGCAAAGTCTAAAGTTAAGAGTAGGCTCCCTGACTTCGCTCTTTTTTCCTGTTTCCTAAATAGCAGTAGGATAGATTGGAAACGACCGTGAAAAGCCTTAATCACAGAGGTAGCAGGAATTTGACTCTAAATTCAGCCTTTATGATAAAAATCCCTGATAGTAAAATTAACCTATGAAAATGGCCCACAAACTGCAGGATACGTGGTGTTAAGCATAAACTAGATCTTTAGCTCTATGTACATTTAAACCTGAGACTTCATAGTTTTAACCATTAGAATGAAAGCGTTTGTGTGTACACAGCTGGCATTTACACAGATAAATAGAACCAGCAACTAACTTTTAGTGTTCATCTTACCCATTCGACAGCATTTGACATAGCTAATTACATCCTCAAAACTTGAAACAGTTTCTTCATTTGACTTGTGAATGCCTTTGCTTGATTTTCATGGTTTGTAAATGCCATGTGCCCCCAAATCTCTTCCCCTCTATAGACACCCTCATTCTCCAGTGATCTCATTCACTACCTTTCCTGGTATCACTGCGTTAATGACTTTCAATACCCATACCAGCCCTGACATCTCTTGATTTCTATACTATATACTCAACTTTTTATCAAAGATATCAAAACAGGATATTTATCAGCATTCAAACTCTAAAATGTACTACCTGCAAAGCCTGTTTCTGTAGCAAGCCTTTCAATCTCAGTAAATGGCACGTTGATTTTTACAGTACAGATTTTTAGAATCCTTTACAGTAGTACAATCTTTGTACTTTAATTCCTCTTTCACATCCAATCCCTCAGCATGATCTTTTGTTTCTTTTTTAAAAATTAGCCTAAATCAAACAAATTCTCACCATCTCTACAGTGATCATTCTTGTCCTCACTAGATGCTTACTTTGTCTAATTGTCCTACATGCTTCTGTTCTTATTTCCTGGAGTCTAGTTTCCAATTTGCAACTGTAGAAATTCTTTTAAAATGCAAACCAGAGCCTCCCTGGTGGCGCAGCCTCTGCAGCACCGGTTCGATCCCTGGCTGCTCCCCGGCCACCAGAGGAGGGTCCCACATGGCGCGCAGAACTCTCCTGCCGCCCGCTGCTCCCCTCAGCAGTGTACTTCGGTCCTTCTGCCTGCTCTGCTCCCCACTCTGGCTCTGGTGAATTCTCTCACCCTCCCGTGTTTCTGACTGTACCCAGCGCATGTATAAACAAAACAAACAAATAAATAAAACATGCCTCTATATATTAAAAAAATAATAATAATAAAATAAAATGCAAACCAGAATTTGTTCCTTCCTGTTCAACACCTTTGGAAGCATTCCTACTCAAATAGATGAAATCTGAAATTGTTTTTCATAAGCCTACATAATCCTGCATGAGCTGACGCCTGGCCACCCCATGCTGCCACTTAGGAAGACAGTGATGTGAGATTGGGAAGTTAGGATTTAGGCAATATATTAGAATTTAGAAAATGGCAGGCACAAAGGTGAATGCCGATGTTCTTGTCTGGAAAGGTTTAAAGGCAGGCTACTGACAGAGGCCGCCTATGATAAAATAAGAAGAGAAAATACTTGCTAAGTTTTCCCAACAACTAGTAGACATGTTAGTGGATGGCATGGTGTATTAGTTTTCTAGGGCTGCCATGACAAAATGCTTCAAACTTAGTGGACTACAGAACAGAAATATATTATCTCACAGTTCTGGAATTTTTACGTTAAGGATCAGAGGTTAGGCAGGGTTGGTTCCCTATAATGGGTGTGAGAAATATTTTGCTCCATGCCTCTTTTCTAACTTATGATGGTTTGCTGATGTTCTTTGATGTTTCACTTCAATCTTTGCCTTCATCTTCATATAACGTTCTCCCTGAATGCTGTCTCTGTGTCTGAATTTCCTCTTTTTTATAGGAACACCAGTCAATCCTACAAACACAGGAGATAAAGGAAATCCAAGTTGGAAAAGGAGAACTTAAACTATCAGTACTTATAGAAGATGTGATAGTATATAAATAAGATCCTAAGGACACCATCAGAAAGTTATTAGAAGCAATAAATGGATGCCACAAAGTAAGAGGCTACAAAATCAACATACAAAAATCCATAGCTTTTTAAATATACAGTGAACAAGAAGAAAGAGAAATTTAAGAAATTCCATTTATAATTGCTTCAAAAAGAATTATACACCTTTAATTCAACCTAACAAAGGAGGTAAAAGATGAAAACTGCCTCATGTTATTAAAGGATTTAGATAGTGAAGTAAGGATGCCCCATGCTCATGTATGGGAAGAACAATATAATCAAAATGACTATCATGTCTAAAATGATATATAAATCTAATACAATCCCCATTAAAATCCTAGCAATATTTTTCAAAGAAACTTAATGAAAATTATTGAAATGTATATGAACCCACAAAAATCCTTGAATTGCAAAAGTAAACTTAAGAAAAAAAGGAGAGAAATGGAGGTATAAGGTTACCTGACTTCAAACTTTATTATAATGCAGCAATATTAAAACCAAGGTGGAATTGGCACAAAAATAGATACATGGACCAATAGAACAGAATTGAAAGCCCAAAATAAGTCCATGCATATACCAGCACCTAATCTTTGATATAACATTCATTCATTAGCATAAAATGGGAAAAAAAGTCTCTAATAAATAGGGTATTTTCTCTAATAAATGAGAAAGCCACATGTAAAATAATGAAGTTGGAATAGTCACTAATACCATACAAAAAGTAAGTTGCAAATGGATTTAGGTGTAAGATAGGCAACAATAAAATACCTAGAAGAAAACTGAATTGAAACATTCCACCGTATTAACAGTATATTTTGGTGACTCTACTCTAATGGCAAGGGAATTATAAACGAAAATTAACAATTGGGGTTACCTCAAGTTAAAAGCTTCTACACAGCAAAATAAAATACAAGATAATTAAATAGACACCCTGCTCATTGGGGGATAAACCTAACATATAACTCATAAAGGATTAATATCCATGATATATAAAAAATTCATGCAATTCCAAAACAACAGAAAAACAAATATTCAATCACAAATGGTCAGCACATGTAGACAATTCACTAAAGAGAATGCCTTTACTTTTGAAAGCTACCAAACTTTCAGAGGAAAATTAATACCTATCTTTTTCCATCTCTTCCATTTGAAAAGGAGGGAAAACATCCAAATATGATCTGTGAACCAACATTAATATTATTCTAAAACCAAAGACTTAAAGGAAAAAAAAGATAACTATAAACCAATATCTCTGATTGCTATAGATGCAAAATCCTCAACAAATAATGACCAAAAAAATTCACCATTACATTAAAAGAATAATACACCTTGATCGAATGAGGGATTGAGGGTGTCATGGGATACAAGCATAGTTCAACTGATGTAAATCAATAAACATGATGTACCACATCAAAAAAGGGGCAAAAAATCATGTAATCATCTCAATATATGTGTAAAAAGCATTTTATAAAATTCAACACCCTTTATGATTAAAAAAGTACACAAAATGAACATAGAAAAAACAGACCTTAATATCAACATAGGCCTTTTGTCACAAGTCGACTGTCAATATAATATGGTATGACAATACACTGAAAGCTATTCCTCTAAGATCTGCAACAAGAAAAAGATGTCCACTCTGACCACACCATCCAATATAATACAACTGATAGGACTTAAAGTGATTTTAAAAAGGATATAAAATGTACTGAAGTTGGAAAGAAAAAGGTAAAACTACATTTGCAAATGACATTATACATAGAAAATGCGAAGGAATCCAATATAAAGCTATTAAAAGTAATTAAAAATGAATACAGTAAAGGCTAGAAAACTAATAAAAATCTATTGCATATCTACATACCATGTAATATCAGGAAGATAAATTTGGAAAAAAATCCTATTTACAATCACATCAAAAAGAATTAAATACCTTGGAATAAATTTAACCAAGAAAGTGAAAGACCTATATACCAAAAACAATATGACTTTGAAAGAAATAGAAGAAGACATAAAGAGATCGTAAGTTACTCCATGTTCATGGATTGAAAGAATTAGCAATTATTAGCATTATTAATGGCTATCCTACCTAAAGCAACATATAGATCCAATGCATGCTTATCAAAATCCCAATGTCATTCTTCTCAGAAATAGAACAAAAAGTTATGAAATTTATTTGAAACTACAAATTACCCCAAATAGTGAAAACACTCTTGAGAATAAAAAGCAAAAATGGAAGTATCACACTTCTCCAAATTTGAACTGTATTACAAAATGATATTAATTAAAAACTTAGTTTTGGAATTAAAAAAAGGACACAGAGTTCAATGGAAAGAACTAACAGAACTCAGAGCCTAGAATAAAACCACAACTAATTTACAATAAAGTAGTCAGGAGCTTACAATGTAGCAAGGAAAGTCTCAGCAATTAATAGTTTTGAAATAACCAGACAACTGCATGCAAAATAATGAAACAAAATATCTAATTCCACACAAGAATTCAAAATGCATTAAAGACAGATGTAAGATCTAAAACCATAAAATACATAGGCAAAAATATATGCAATATACTCCTTGACATCGGTCTTAGAGATGTGTTTTGG